CCCTCCTCTCAGGCAGTTGTAGGCAGCGATGAGGGCTCCCCTCAGCCTCCTCTGCTCCAGGCTGAACCCCCCCAGCTCCCCCAGCCGCTCCCCAGCAGCCTGGGGCTCCAGACCCCTCCCCAGCTTTGTTGCTCTCCTCTGGACATGTTCCAGCAACGCAACATCTTTCCTGCAGTGGTCTTCAGTAATCTTTTAAAACCTTTAAAGTAATCTTTAAAACCTCAAGTTTTTACCACAGCCCTTGTTTCTCTGACTTTCAATTCAACAAGCAGAGCCACTCACTGCCACTATACCCCTGGGACTACCTCGGGACCTTCACTGAAGCCTAGCTATAGCACTCGGGTCTACCAGGGCAGGCTCGCACCCATTTTACTAGAGCAAGCTGAATATGCAATACCAGCACTAGGAAAAGTCAAGGTGTTCTTCTGAGCAGTAGGTATTCCAGCCACCAGGATCTGGGGCAGGTGTTTAAATTAGCATTAAAATCATATGCCATCCTCCCTCACCCTGACTTGGTAACTAAAGAAACACCAATTTGTCAGCAGAGCGACGCAGAAGTTCCCTCACAAGGAAGTCACTGCAAGGTCCCTCCTTCCCCCTCTCTTCCCAACTTTTGATACCGGATGTTTCACATCCTTCAGCCCAGGAAAAGGCTGCACTGTTCTCTGGTATTCTCTGACATAAGACTCAGAGAACTGAATATGCCGTGATAGGTGAAGATTAATCTCTCTCTCTCTCTGTACATTGATTTTTCTGTGTGGAACAGAGGAGACAATCATAAAGAAATTGTAAATTTGCAGGCTGGCAGACTCTGCAGGTGGTTTTTAACTGCTGAAGTTTGAAATTTAATAGCATCCCTTTAGGAACAAGGGGCTTCTGCTGAGTAAACAGCCATTATGGGCTACTTTTTCTGTACTGAAGCAGACAGAATTAGAACAAGAAATTTCTATTTTATTAACAGTAATTCATAGAATTCCACCACTTGGACCAGTGTTTATTTTCTGTTAATAAAAATGAGTTTTGACAAAAGTCTGATTCCATTTTCTTACCACCTGCATCTTTTATCTTCCCTGCTCTACTGCAAGTGGCCAGAGATGCAATAAGTTAGATGGGAATGTGTAAGTGACAATGAGGGAAGGGACACGGGAAAGGCTCAGTACCAGCCAGCCAATATTGCCACTACTCATACAAAATATTTATACCAAATTGAGGAATAAAAACTACATGCAGAAGGACAGACAGGCTGCTTGATATCCGGTAAATACCCAACCGGTGCTTGCAAAGGAGGTTTCCACCACAAGTCGATGCACTGTAGCACTCAGCCTACAGAAGCCAGGATGACATCTACAGGCGTTTCTTCCTTGCTTCTAACAGTCACCTGCATGGTCACGCCATCTCCTAGCGCAAGCCTGGACCTGACCAGCACATCGCAGCCGCCTCTGTATACACCTGGGGACAAAGCAACAATTGAGATTACTTAAGAGAGGCTCAGTGATCTTGTCCTAACCCAGGAGCCAACAACCCGGTGACTGCAAGATAGATTCAGTCTATGGCCAACTGCAGAGAGGGAGAAAATGACAAAAAACATACCAAACCCCCCAAATCCCTTGAGCTCCTGAGGCCAAGACTGAAGGTAACAGATACTGTCCTAATTAAACAGAGTCGGCGAGTGCTGCTAGAGGGCTAGGCTGATTTAAGTAGGTAGAAACCAGAAAGTGGGTGGCTGAAGCTCACTTCCAGTTTCAGAAGGCAACGCATATTGTCATTCTTCCATGAAGATGCAGTCCATTGGCTCGGTGCCCTTGCCATGAAGGGAGGAATGGTCCTCCTATGCTTCTACTAGAGGGCATGGAAGTGGCGCTCCTGGAGGCAATCCAGACTGAAGGATGAGCCACCTCCAGTCCCACTTCAACATCACTACGCAGACAGACCCGGAGTTACCAACTCTGTGCCTGAAATAAACTGAGATCCAACCCCTCTGTTGGACCATGATGCGCCATGTTCACTGCAGTTTTGCTTTAACAACTGCAGTAAAATTTTGTAGAGCACTTCCAGGGATTGCCCAAAAGCACAAGCCTGGAGTGCAGTCATCAAACAAGAAGTTGCAGGTACTGCAGGCCAATTCAGGATGTGTCTTTAGTGACAGAATCTTGAAAACTAGATGGTCCCAGGAACCCCCTTCCGAGATTAACTACAGGCAAGGAATTTAGTTAGGGGTCTGCTCTGGAAGTTCTTCATTCAAAGGATTCACTACCATTCCTAACAGGTGCAATACATACATCTGGAGAGACTCAAAGCCTAGCCTAAGTACACCCACAACAGCAAGCTCCAAATTAGCACCAGCTGCTTTCAACTCACTGGTTCGCTTCAGCTTTCTATAGAGAAAAAAAAACCTCTCAAAACAAGAGCAGAACTTCCTAATTAATTTCATTTAGTAGGAAAAAAAAAAAATGCAAACCAAAACCCAAAAAACTTCTGTGTGGGGACATGGAAACATGGAGTTCAGTAGCATGAATCCTTACCAGCTAAGTAGAGCGTGTGAGAATTTTTGTTCTCTGGCACTTTATCTGATCTCTCACAGGGCTGCATGCCCAAGAACTTGATGATGTTATTGACAGCTTCTGCATTCAGAGATTGAAGAAAAAAACCCAATATTACCTCCAGGTTGGTGCCAAGCTTTCTGTGAGAATGAGTTTGTAATTAAAGAACATTGTCTAAGCACCCACGTGGCTTGAGCATTTCCCTTCATTACCTTGGTTGCAGCCCCACCAACACACCCACGTTGCGATGTCCCTTCTGCTGTCTTAACAGCCTCCTCCCTTCAACCAGCCCCAAGCAAGGGAGCACTGCCAAACTTCCACTTGCTATAATCCCAACACTGCAACACAAAGTCCTGTTGCTAGGGCATAATGTCATGTTGGAAGGCACCAAATTCTCCTCCTACCACACTAAATATATCCCCAGCATGGCAGATTTATCAGGAGTACTGTGTGGGTCACCAATAAAAGAGGAGAAATCATCTCACCGTCAAGGGTTTTAATTGAACTAAGTGCAAAGGTTTCTTCTTTCTCAAAGTCATCTCCCACTTCTTCCCATGCAGCTGCAAAGTTTGGCTTTAAAACCTTCTGAATATGATCAGAGACGGTCACCTCCAAATCTTCCAACTGACAGAAAAGTAAGGGAGATTTTCAGCTGCCAGTTATAGAAACAATCCTAATCTTAGAAAGGGGAAGCCAGGCGAAGAGACAGAGCAGCATTTTGCCAAGATGACTCTGGCATGCCTGGCTTTAAATTTCAGGAGGCAAGCGTAGTAACAGTGATTACTTATGGTGGTCATCTGCAAAGCTTAAAAAAAACAAACAAACAAACAAAAAAAAACATTTACACAAAAACATGTGAGAGTCTGAAGGAGAGCAGAAAATGGGGCAATCGCTTTGTGAGTCAAAGCCCATTCTAGCCCTTACTGGGTATCTGAGGAGACTTCCTCAGCATCCAGAAGGAGCTTTTACCTCCTCCAAGCCCCAAAGGCAGGCATGCTCCCAAGATCTAACTTGTATTTCAGTGATTAAAAAAAAAGAATGCAATAAAGAGAAGTGCAAATGCTTGGGGTGGAGGGAAAGATTTGGTGACAGTTCTGGAAAAAAGGACAATGGAAGTTATTCCTTTCTTCCTATCTCTCCCCACAAATCTCCATAGGACACTTAAAGCTACTGGGCGCAAGGTTTTGATGAAAGATCTAAAGTTACAAGTTGCCACATTTTGGAAATGGTGTTTCAGGCAGGCCTGCCGTTCTCTCCTACTGGCTTCAGATCTGAAAGGAAACCATCAACCCAATGGCCACATGTACTCAGAATTAGTGACAAGAAAAGCCCCCACACCAGTCCTGAACTTACCACATACTCATCGTCATAGCCATCTTCTTCTGGTACACCTGTGTTTGGGTCACAGTCTCGAACAGTGAACTTCATTGTGCAACTGAAAGTACAAGCAACTGGGGAGGAGAAGAAAAGCCCATATAGATTAGTGGTGCAGTTTCTCCTGCTTGAGCCCTCACTTTCCGAAAAGGGAGTGGAAAAAACGTTCATTAGCTTTGCCCCAGAACATACGACATGGTCATAGTCAGAGCATTTTTTCAACTTCACATAGAATTTCCCCCCAGACTCTAAGATGAAGGCCAAAAGAAATCTCAGGGGAGGAGTACACCAGGGCCATAGTGTAACAAGCACAGGTCCACCGCAGAGTGCTGCAGAGCGATCCAGTCAGCGTTAGCTACCAGGAGAAAGCCTGCAAGGGTTTCTGACAAGCGGATTATGATCTGAAACCACAGTTCAGGGAATTCAGACTCATTCCAATCTTTTCCAGTATTAAAGCAAAAACCAAGAAATCTGCCCCGCTGATGAGCTATGTTAAACCAACTGCAAATCCATTGGATTTTCTTTTAAGTGACTAATAAAAGCAAGAAAGGGAAGTTTTATGCCCAGGAAATTCTCCCATTCCTATATTTCATAGTCATTTCTAATTACCTAAAGAGAGGAAAAATTGCATCAGCCAGGTATGTCGAGGCCCAAACTACCAATCTTTTTTTTGCCTACTGGTATTTTCCTTTTACCGATTCTGTTCCCGACTACTACCAAACATCCATGTTTTCAATGGTGTTCCTTTCATTGACTGAAGATAATAAATTCATTCCCCTGTATTACCTGCACGCTCACCAATCCTCTTAAACATCCCATGCCACTATCTCAGGATGCACTTGCCAAATCCCGCACCCTAAACATTTTATTATCTGTTCTCCAAAAACCTGATTTGAGGGATTTGTCATGCAGAACTACTCCCTGCAGTGGGTACCTGCAGTAGGGTCATCCTGGGGAATCTGGACGAGGGTGTAACACATGCCCGGCTGGTTGTAAGCCAGGCTGGGGGCTGGGATGCAACAGATCACGTCGTAAGCGTCTGAGGGCTCCATCTGCACAGTGACTCTCTCTAGCAGCTGATCATTTAACGTGTTTGTGCAATCAAACTGCAGAAGAATAAATTGAAAAGGACTTGAACACAGAAGAAGCATTTCTAATCAAGAAATGTTCCCCAAATCAGCTATAATACTCCACAGCATACAGCTGCCATCCCACATCTTTGATCAAGCCTGCCGTTGTCACTAAATGGCTTTTCTTTCCAATTTTCCTGGAATTCTTTAACAGATGGGATCATAAACCCCATGCTTTTTTGATCACACACCCTCTTAACGCTACCTTGCAACTCCCTTAAGAGAGAAGCTGTCCCCTCCAGGGCACAGCGACAGCGCTGTTTATGCTATGGCCAGGCATCATTAAGGGCCAACTCCTATTGCACTCTGGCAAAAGCACCTAACTTCTCTTACCTGGAAAACAATGTGATTTGTGAACACGTGTTTAATACAACGAACAAAATACTCTGTTTCTGCTTCTGTGAGCTGCGCTGGTTCCGAAGACTTGAATAATGGTCCCAAACCCTTAAACTCTGGAATGGCTGCCAGTTGTTCTGCGCAGAAAGGAAAAGGTGACAGAGACTTAGCAACAGGCTCATTCCTTGTTCCCGCCTGACCTGTGGCAATCCTCCCAACACCTCAAGTGCTGGAGGGCCCACTGATCTTCTGTCATACCTTGAAATATATCCTGACGCGAAGGAGCAACTTTCTCAGGTTTGCTGGTGACTAGGGCAATCTCTGTGAAGAAAAAAAGGAAAGACATCATGCTGTCAACTGCACCACACAGGAGTTTTAAATGCCATTGTATCTCCACTACAAATTCCCTAACCTGTAGTGTTTCACACATTGTGCTGCAAACTGTTACCAGCCTGGTTCCTCACACACACTGAAATATCTTTTCTGTCAGGCAATGTTGGATTGTAAGGAAAGAAAAGAGATGTTTGAGTAATGATGAAGAAACCACACTTTAGTCCAGAATAGCCAGCAGAAAAGCTGGAAGAGAAAAAAAAAAAAACAAAAACAAAAAACCCAACCCAAACCTTTTCTTAAAAAGTTCCTCTAAGTCAAAATGTAAGAATTGTGCGAGAACGTGGAAGAAAGTCAGTGAAGTGACATAAGTGCTTCTGGAATGTACTTTTTTCAAATGTCTATGGACTAAAAAAATTCTGATGATGTATAAACTCCTCTCTGATAACAAGATTAGCAGAACAAATAATGACATCCTTGCCAACCCATCTTCCTTTATCTGTGAAGATCAGGCAGGCTTGCTCCTGCAAAGCCAGCGACACCGTAACCCGTACGGCATTCAGCTGAGCCATCTCCAGTCTTGGCCTGACCCTACTAGGACAGCAGCCAGTTTACAGACATCAAGTATCATTACGGCAACCTGAAAGCCTATAGCCTTGCCTACAGCCGATTTAAATGAAGCCTGAGCATTACCTGCTTTCTGTTCAAAGATTGGTGCGGTAGCCAGTGGAACTGTTTTCATATCAAAAGGTTTGTCAGAAGGTTCCAGTGTGTATTGGTGCAGGGCTTTCTCCATCCCAGGAACAGAGACGGTCAACCCTGCAAAACAGAAGCACAGGCAGAAAAATTCCGTTTTAATAGCAGGCACTACGATACAGCGTTTGCAAATGAACAGTGTGAATTTTGGATTGGCCACTGCACCAAAACAAGATGCCAGAGTCTGAAAAACTTACCTGTGTCTCAGTTACCTTCCTCTTGAGATATAAACAAGGAAGATTATTTAAAGAGCTCTTCCCTGTAGCCTGTCAGGCTGCAGAGACAAAGTCTTGTGATGAATCTAGAGTTTACAGCTGGATAGATACAATTTGGACTTTGACTAATAAAAAGCTGGTAAAAGCACTTTCATTTCTCAGTAAACACAAAACCACATGCTAAGTACTTCAAGATACTTGATATAATAAAAAAAAACTGCTCTGAAGATCATAGAATCACTTAATCACTTAAAGACCTTTAAAATCATTGAGTCCAACCTTTAACCTCACCCTGCCATCCCACCACTAAACCCTGGCCCTCAGCACCTCATCCATCCTTCTTTTAAATCCCTCCAGGGATGGGGACTCGACCACCTCCCTGGGCAGCCCATTCCAGAGCCTGACAGCCCTTTC